CCGCCCGCGTCCCGCCGAGGCCCCTCCGGGTCGTGAGGCGCAGGCCACGGGGGAGACCCCTCAGCGCTCCGCTCGCCCTCACCAGCATGGCGGCCTGAGGAAAACCGCCCGGGCATGAGGCTTCGCCCTCGCCGCCGACATCTTGTGAGTGGCGGAGGGGCGGTAAGGCGGTTTAATAGGGCCTACTGCGCGTGCGCACAGCCGGCATCATTCCGCTGCCTTGAGTGAGGGGGCACCGCCTCCATCTCAAACCCCGCTTCTGATTGGTCCATCAAAGTGACGCCGCCTTCTGGGCGGAGAATGGCCTTGCGGGAAGAAACACGTGGTTCAAGAGTTTATAGGCTGCGGGTAATAGGTTGCGGGTAAATTCGGGGGGGGGGCACTGTGCTTTATCTGGGCCGCAGTTAGGGTTGCCAGTCTCCAGGCGTAGGCTGGAGATCTCCCGGAATCACAACTGTTCGGAAGAGAGATTTCAGTGGGTAGTTGTGTTGATCTGAAGCCGCAGAACAAAGTTTGGGTCCAGTGAATTTCTTCAACCATTTCATATGGGGGAGGGGGTTTAGTTGCCAAGAAGGGCTGGTTAAAGTCAAGATGGGTAAGTAGCTGAGACTGGATAATCGCCCAGTTACCAGTGTTCCCTCTAAGCTGAGTTAGTGTGAGCTAGCTCACAGTTTTTTAGCCTCCAGCTCACATCTTGTCTTAGCTCAGGAAGGATGGCTCCAGAGCAAAGTAAATTATGCAGTAGCCAAATCGCTTGCTGGCAACTTTAATGCCAGTAGCTCACAAAGTAGAATGTTTGCTCACAAGACTCCACAGCTTAGAGGGAGCATCTTGACTCTAAGGCGCAACTAACCCGCCCCACACCCCCCCTCTCTCTTCCTATATGTAATGCCTGAGGACCTTTTCACTGTATCTGAAGAAGTGTGCTTGCACAGGAAAGCTTGTACCCAGAATTAAACTTTGTTGGTCTTAAAGGTGCCGCTGGACTCATACTTCATTCAAGTGGTCTGAAGGTTACAGAGGTCGGTTCCCCAGGAGAAAATTGGCTGCTTTGGAGGTTGAACTCGATGGCATTATACCCCTCTGAGGTCCTTCCCCAGGGTCCACCTCCAAATCTCCAGAAATTTCCCAAAGCCTAGGGGGCCCCAGATCACATTGAGGGCCACCCAAGATGTGGTAGGGGTTCCAGTTTCCAGATGGAGCCTGGAAATCTCCAGGAATTATAAGGAGACAGGAAGAAGAGATTGGATTTATACCCTGCCCTTCATTCGGTGTCTCAGAGCGGCTTGCAAACTCCTTCCCCTCCCCACAACAGACACCCTGTGAGGTAGGTGGGGCTGAGAGAGCTCTTTTGAGAACTGCTCCTGAGAGAACAGCTCTGCCAGAACTATGGCTTGCTCAAGGTCATTCAGCAGCTGCAAGTGGAGGAGTGGGGGAATCAAACCCGGTCCGCGCACTTAACCACTACACCAAATTGTACACTACAGTACCTATCTCAAAATTACAGAGATCGGTTCCCCTGGAGAAAATGGCTGCTTTGAAGGGTGGACTCTATGGCATTATACCCCTGTGAGGTCCCTCCCCAGGGTCCACCCCCAAAATCTCCAGGAATTTCCCAACCTGGAGCTGGCAGCCCTACCTAGTGGAGGATCTTTTTTTTTTGGGACCAGGTTAAAAATGGCTCTTTAATTTGTTGGGCTACAGTGTTTTTCTATGTAATGAAATGGATGCATTCTAATAAAAATTATTTTTCAAAGTAATAAGCTTAAAATTCTGACCAAAAAAATAAGCAGCTCTATGAAAGGCAAACCAGCACAGAGATGAGAGGTAAAACTTTGTTCCTGCTGTGCTACCTGTGTCTGTTTGGCCATGGCTTCTAATGGTAGAGCATCTGTTTGGCATGCAGAAGTTCCCAGGTTCAATCCCTGGCTTCCTCAGTTAAAAGGACTGGATAGGAGGTGATGGGAAACACCTTTCTCTACCTGTGACCAGAGAGAGCAGCTGCCAGTCTGAGTAGACAATGCTGACCTGGATGTATGTATTATCTGTGTTCAGTGCCCTGAAGTAAAACAGCCCTGCTCAGGGTTAAACTGGAAACCTCGAGGCTAGACTACTGCAATGCTCTCTACATGGGGCTGCCTTTGTCTCAAATCCGGAGGCTGCAGCTGGTGCAGAATGCAGCAGCCAGGCTGTTGATGGGTCTCTCTAGGAGGGACCATATTCAGCCTGTGCTGAAAGTGCTGCACTGGCTGCCGATAGCGTACCGGATCCGCTTCAAAGTGCTGGTTCTTACCTATAAAGCCCTATATGGCCAGGGTCCAGCCTACCTGAGGGACCGCCTTTCCCCACATGTTCCCCCAAGAGCACTACGGTCGGGGCCCAAAACTTGCTGGTCATCCCGGGCCCCAAGGACATCAAATTAGCTGCCACCAGGGCCAGGGCTTTTTCGGTAGCGGCTCCTACCTGGTGGAACGAGCTCCCGAGGGAGATCCAGGCTCTGCGGGACCTTATCCAGTTCCGCAGGGCCTGCAAGACTGAGCTCTTCCGCCAGGCCTTTGAGTAGGAGCCGCCACCCCACTATACCACCACGATCTTAAGGATGCACGGACGAGGCCCTGATGAAGATCCTGGAATAGGTAAAGAAGATCCGATAAGCTGTCGCCATTCATGGGAGCACCACCTGGAACTGTGTCGATTCCATCTTGGATTATGATATCAGTGACTGAGCACCGTTGTTGTTTTTTAAGTGTTAGTTGTTTTTATTATGCTTTAGATGTTTATTTATGGCACGGCTGATTACCTTGCCCTTGTGAGCCGCCCTGAGCCCATTGGGGAGGGCGGGATACAAATGTGAAAAATAAATAAATAAATAAATAAATAAAGCCTTGCAAGACTACAGAGGCAGCATTCATATTGCTGGGATGCACATCTTCCATCTCAGTTACGAAATCATGAAGCCAGACGCATTCAACTGTAAGCTCGCCATTTTACCAGATCGGTATTTTTCTAGTTGTACTTTTTTAAAAACAAAATCGTGCCTGTACAGTATCCTAATGAAAGTCAACACCCCTGGACAGACAGATCTCATTCCTACCACGCAAAAAACAAGTCACAAGTTTAATTCCATTTTATTAGTATTGGAAATGAAACATCCAACTGTTTCATTTCTTTCTTTTTTTCCTTTCAATGTGCTATCGTTCTAAGTACAATCTGGCGGTAACGTTTGCCCCGACATATATTTACGAAAAATTATATACTTAAAATGTTTCTCATACGACATACAAGTTAGTACAAAAAAAATAATAATCGATCTGGGAACTTCGTAACAGTATAGATTCATTATGGCCTTTTAGATAAAGTTCAAGTATTTCCCAGTGGAATGGAATGTGAGCGACAAGATCTTTCGTTCCTTATTCTGTTTTGGTTACTAAACATTGAAACATTTTTAAGCTGTATGAAATGGCAGGGGGCTTTTCCACATTCTCATATTTTGCTCCCTCAAGTGGTCGATTTGATATTACACCACTTTATGTCCAGCCTAACACCCAGTAGTTAAAACACGCATGGAACAGACGACTCCCACCCCCCAAACAACAGGAATGCACGAGGAAGGAAAAGAATGCGGAAAAGCCCACAGTGTCCGGTATGAAAGCCTGGGAATTGTAGTGAGGATACTACGTTTTCTTTCTGGAACATCTCTACCTCAGAAATCTACAATTCCCAGAGTTCCTTGGATAGAAATCCTAGCATTGGAACCATTTTAGTTAAAAATATATATATATGGATACTTAGATACCTGGGAGGTATTCTGGATTGCTGTAGTGGTGTTCTTGTTCTTTGAAAATTACCCCCATTTCTTTAATGATGTCACACAGGAGATGCCTTGAACGCATTCGTTCTACATTCTGTCGCAGTCGTAAATTTATATAGAACACGCATAAATCTAGCCACGTACGGTTCCCTCTAAGCCGAGTTAGTGTTAGCTAGTTCACAGTTTTCCAGCCTCTTAGCTGAGGAAGGATGGCTCCAAAGCAAACTAATTTATGCAGTAGCCAAATTGCTTGCTCACAACTGTAATGCCAGCCGCTTACAAAGTAGAATTTTCGCTCACAGGACTCTGCAGCTTAGAGGGAGCATTGATCACGTATGTGCACAGCCTAACACAACCCTTCACCCTATGTGTTCAGTACTGCTGCACTGGAAAGTAGAGCGAAGTTGGCAAGTTTTATATGTGTACCTTAACTGGGCCAAAGACAGCATAATTCCTGCACCATCCGAATTCATTATGACGACATTTATAAAAGCAAGATGGCCCAGATGTGCCAACATTGACACACAATTTCACACGTCAGTTTCAATACGGCCTCATCATTTTCAAGTGTGCTCCAGCGTTCCTTCGAAACATGAGATCGGAGGTCCCTCCAGCTTTTCTGCTCAATTTACCCAATTCACCCTTCCCACTGCAGCCCCCGTCCTATATGGCTTTCGTCCCAGTGAATCCCATAGTCCCCACCATAGGTGACTTATGAATTTAAGCAGTCGGTAAGAGGGCGGGGCAGGAAGGAGTGAACCAGTGCTCAGTTCTTGTGGCACTTTCTGATAGGACCAGGGTAATGCCGATTGCCATTCTGGGGTCAGGAAGGAATTTTCCTCCAGACCAGATTAGCCCAGGGATCCTGGAGGTTTTTTGCCTTCCTCTGGGGCCTAGAACAGGGGTCACGGGGGGAGGTAGCGGAGAATTTCCTGCATTGCACAGGGGGTTGGACTAGATGACCTCTGGGGACCCATTCCAGCTCTATGTTCCTATAGCCTTTTCAGTGGTCAAGAGGACCTCTTCTCTGTTTCCCCAGTAGAAAAGCTGTCAGGATCCAACCCACAGGTTGAGCCGAAAGCAAGTAAGCCACAGTCTTGGCATGTCCAAACATTCACAGCGATAGCCGTCTCCGTAGTCCGAAACATTTGGCTGTGCTTTTCAGCATATTGATAATTGTATTAAAGTGGCTGTTTGAACTGGAGAAGCTTTCATTTTAACGAACCTCTTTTTGGTAGAACTGACACAGGACGAATGTTCATTTTCTAGAAAAGAGACATCTGCTTTGTGGCAGAATGAGGGTTCGAGCCATTAAAAATGATAGATGCGT